AAGTTCCGGATACTTACTGTTGAAATATTTTTCTGGCCGAAATTTACGCCCGAATCAATTAGTCTCTGCTAACTCTGACACCCAGGCGGTCATTAAAGCATTTGCAGCAGTGATGATAAACTCATTTTGTTTGCGACAATGCGGAGATCGAATAGATGAACTTTGTGTCAGCAGGTCACTTATATTCGGGGTGCCAGAACACGAGGGAATAGGATGAAACGAATGAGCAGATGTGTTGGCTAAATCAGGAGTATTATTACCACCGGGCGACATGGAACAAATGTGCCATTATCTCAACTATTTAAGAACAGAACTAGATTTGGTAACGGCATAAAATAGGAAAAGGCAACAGCAATAAACAGGTCCCGACTCAACTACCCTAGACCTGAGAATTGGCAATTTGTTAAAGTTCGCAAAAAAAATCGTCTTAAATCATGCATCCATATCCTTGGCAACACTAGGGACCAGCGACTTTGATATTTCGGAAGTTGGTTCAGTTTGGTATCGAAAACTAAGAATACTAAAATAAATTAAATTCATATATTAGCCATGTAGGCCATATTCAATCAGTAAAAGTACCGCCGATACTTCCGGATTCTGGAAAATTCAGGAAATTCGGCTACCCTAGACACTTCAGCGACAATCAGGACACATCCATAAGTAACGACTATTGCATGCTCGCTATTACTTTTTAAATTAAATGCAAAATTGTAATAACAGCAACTGTGCGCAAGCACAACAGACCTCACCGTTTGCCCAATGCCTTAAACGCTTATACGAGTTATGTGTAACTTGAAGATAGAGTCGATTAAGGAATTTTCTCAGCTGAATTGAGGCTAAAAACATATTTTCAGTTTTACGCCCACTGTAGTGCATATGAAGCGAAAGTGTTGGCCATGCAGAAGGCATCACAGATACTCGCTCAAAGAGCTTCAGAGAGGAGAGGAGTGTTCATGCAACAAAGGTTTTTCGTAGAAGCCCTAGAAGTCTGTAATAAATGGCCAAGCATTATACATATGTACATAGAATTCAATTTATATTGGTGCTTGAAGACTCTATGTAAATAATTTTCCTGCCCCGTCGGACCAACTAACCAACACCAAAAAACCTTTTTGGCATTGACAGACTTTAAGCCATAGAAAAGTACGCGTGATAGGCAAACTATAATTTCAAGGCTGTGCAGAGATTTAATAGGTGAAATATCCGCTTTGGCAAAGTTCATCGGGTGTAAGGGGCTGCAGGGCTGCAATCCAGTTTGAACCGAACTGAATTTTTTTTGGTTGATGGCAACTCCGTGAGATGTAATTTCGCCCATATAACGAATGATTGAAATGTTCTTACATGGTAGAAAATGCTTAACAACGCCAGCAAACAAAAAAAAAATCAAAAATTTATGCGAATTTTAAGATACGATTCAAACATTACAAACAATACATTAAAATTGTACGACTGCATATTCGGACTATTTAGTTCTCATTTAAAAATTTGATACTTTGATGCAATTTTTTTGCATATCGCTACCTAAAGATGAAAAGGTGTAAAGTACACTTTTTTCGAAATTTAGTGTGCGAAGCAGAATGACAAGATTATGCGAAAATACATCGAGTTTTCGTCTCTCCAGACCAGTTTCGAAAAACGGACTTGGCACCTTTTTACCTGTAGGTAACGATATCATATGTTTAACCATTTCAAGCTAACCTAAAAGTGTGTTTGCATTGTTCAACTTTGCGTTCAATATTTGCGTTCAACTCAGCGCAGGGTTGCACGAAAAAAAAGTTGAATGGCTAAAAATATCAAAATATGAAAAAATATCAAAATATTCGCCATAAAAAGGTGTTTGCATTGTTCAACTGTGCATTCAACTTTTGGTTGAATGGCCTTTCAACTAATCGCTTTCAACAAAGTTGGTCGCCAGCCAACATTTAGCCATTCAACTTTTTTTTCGTGCAACCCTGCGTTGAGTTGAACGCAATTGTTGAACGCAAAGTTGAATAATGCAAACACTGCTTAACACCAACATCAATTAAAAGTTGTTGTATTAGAAAATGTCACATGATTTGTGTTCCTAATTAAGTGATCATAGACAATGTATGTACATATTTATGTATGTAAATAGTACTAAATGATATAACAATATTCAAATATTGACCACACACCTACTTTAATTTTATTAAATATTGCGCAGTATATCCCACCCAGCAAAGAAACGTACGCTTTGCCGACCGCCGCGATAGTGCGACTGTGGTAGATATCCGAATATTCGGATAGCAAAATTAAGGGATATTCACCGCATATCCGGACAGCACAACTAATGGATATTTACCGTATTTGAGCTTGGTGTAAAATGCGGAGGTGTAAAATGCGGATATTCGGTTCATATCCAGATAACGAAATAGAACGGATATTAACCGGATATCCGGATTTCAAAAATATACACGAATATCCGAACGGATATCGGATATGATACAGTAGGGTAAAATTTCATTCTACCGAACTCAAATATTCTTCACATAAAAAATATCAAAAGATCAAAATCCCAAGAACTGCCCTGCAAAAAATTGGACTAATCCGGGATGACTCCGGGAGCAATTGCAAAGGACCATGCGACTAATACCACTTTTGACCTCTTTATATGGAATGAACTGATCGCTTTTGTTCGAGCATGTCCTATGAAGAGACTAATTGTTCCCCTTTATACCCGAACGGGTATAAAAAGCGACAAGTCACTTTTAAAAAAATGAAAATAAAAATTTGCGCCAGCTGAGATTCGAACCGAGGTGCTCAGTTTTGTTAGGCGAATACTCTCTCTCTGCGTGCCAACGCCGCACATGAAATTGCATTGACTAAGTGCGTACATATTATTAAATCGTTAATAGTACCCGTTAGAGATGAGTTGGGGACTAATTTATCTCCAATTATACCCATAAAGGATGAGTCGAGACTAATTGATCTCCATTAGTACCCGTATGAGACTAGTTGCGACTAATTAATGCCCTATTGTACCCGATTAAGAGTAATCTCGGAATACTCTCTGTGTGTATGTAAAAATCTATGGTGTAAATGTTTTATAAAATTTTGACCTACCGATCCTATATAGGCTCATTCAATGTTTGTTGCTCTTCGTTACATTGATTGTTGTATTGCAGAGCCATTTTTTTGGTTTTAATTTAATTACCAATTAAGATTTGATTATATCAAATTTATCTGCATGATAGCATAATAATTTTGAGGCTCACATATCATTTAATATTACTCGTATACATACACAAACACCTACGTATGTAGGTATACACATATTGACATTAGCAAATTGGTGTACATACATAGATTCGGAGAAATTAATTGAATTCGAAGTTTACCAAGAACCACAATTATTTGAAATTGTTATGAAATTTAATTGGTAAAAATATGATGAACTAATTAGTACCTCCCTATTCGTGTGGTTGAGTAATCAATTAATAATGGCAAATCGTTTTGAAAATTGTCGCATTATAATAAATCAATTAAATGCTTAAATTGTTGCAGTAGGATTGGCTAATAAAGAACGTGAAACAAATCTTTATTAAATCAATGCGCGATAATGTGTACGGACTTACAAAAATTATAATTAAACATACTTCGAAAATTTAGAGAATTTTTCTTAGAATAAATTCTTGTTAATACGGCTATCATGAGCGGCAATGAGTTATATTTTTTAGGTTTTTAAGTTTTTAAAAAGCTCAAATTTAATAGTTATTTTTGAGTTTTACTTATTGCTCAGAAAATACAATTATTTTTTGATTTTTATTTATTGCTTGAAAATAATTCATAGTTTATTTTTATTTTGCTTGGAAAATAATAGCTATTTTTGGGGGTTTATTTTTTTCTCGAAAACACTAACGAGCCAAAGCCGCTTAGGTGGTTACTTCGGCAAAGAATTTAGAAGAAAAATATTAGGGAAGCTTCTTAACGCCACCGAGAATGGTCGACTGCCTAAATAGACAGGGGAAACTGGCGTTGAATGTTTGAAGCATCTGTGAAGGCAGAATGAAAATACAAATGGAAAGACACAAGGACGAAAACAAAGACTGAATAAAAAAGATGGACAAGGAAACAACAAAGACACAGACATTCCCACTCTTAGACAAAGCTAAGGAGAAACATAACGATGGAAATAAAGA